TGAGCATCAGCTGGAAGCGAATCAGACCCAAAACCCTGCACTTAAGGAGCTTGTATTTTAGGGGCACAGGCAGTAAACAAGATAGGCAATTATAACATCATGTGGCAGATGGCATTAAGTTCTACATAGCAAAAATGCAGGAGGGGGAGGTAGGAGAGGGTAAAGGGGGAATAAATGGTGTTGGAAGGGACTTGACTCAGAATGGTGAACACACAATACAATATACAGATGATGTATTGTGGAATTATATACCTGAAACTTATATAATTTTATTAACCAATGCCATCCCAATAAATTCAATTTTAAAAGATTTTCAAAGAAAAATGCAAGAGGAGTGCAGGGAAAGGGAGGCTATGACGTTATTCAGAAAAGCCAGGAGCAGCCTCATGGAGGACATGGGATCGGGCAAGATCTGAAAGTGGTGAAGCAGAGGATTTATGGAGATTTTGGGAAGAGTGTTCCAGGCAAAGGGAGCAGCAAGTGCAAAGGGTCTGGGGCAGCTTGTTGGCTCTGGAGCAGGCCTGGTGTTTTGGAGGTACAGCAAGGAGGGAGGCAGGTTGCCTGAGTGAAAGAAAAGAGTGGTGGAAATGAAGCCAGTAATGAAGACCAGACTGTGCCAGGCCTTGGGGACCATGGTGAGGAGTGTGGCTTCTGTTCTGCAGGAGAGGGGAACCATGAGAGGGTCCTGAGCCCAGGGCTCTGCAGAAACTAAAGCACCCAGAGTGTATCCAATGCACATTCAGAGCTCAAGCAGCTGCAGCTTGGGGTGGCCCTGACAAAAGCCTCTACTCTGAAGGCTTTAATTTTTGCTCTCTGGCCTTCTCCAAGACTGCATCCTCAAGCTCAGGCCAGTCCAGCCAGGTGGGCAGAGGTGGTCCCCCACAGGAGCCAGGAGGCTAATCCCACTACTGACTTTGCAGCACTGATAACAGGCAGCATAGACCTGCTCCCTGAGGCCACTGAGAAAGCAGTTTCCACTCCTACCTGGCCATGTAATAGAGCTGTGTCCCATGCTCCAGGACAGAAGACCAATTAGGAAACCAGATCTGGGGTCTTTGAGGTCCCCACTGCCCCCAAGGCTTCCATTTCAGCAACCAGGCAGAAAGATGTGAGGTCTGGAACACCTGTCAGGTGGTGTAGAGAGGGAGCAGGTAGCGGGGCACCAAGGATGCAGCAGGAGCAGGAGGCCTGCATCTCAGGCCCTCTTTTGCTACAGCAGATAACCTACCCTCTCTGGGCCTCAAGTGTGCAAGGGCAGGCTGGACTGGAATGACGAATTTCCAAGGCTCTGGTATCGCAAATGCTGACATCTCCTCCTTCACAGAGCTCCCTTTCCATATGCCTGCTTCTGCTGAGACCTCTTGCTCAGAGGCACACACAGAGGCTCACATTCCTTCTCTCCCATCCTGGGTGCTCTCAGCAGCCTCCCCAGGTGGGGCTTCAGTCCCACTTTGCAGACAACAAATTGAGACCCAAGAGGAGAAGTAACTCAGCCACAGTCACACCACAGGTCTCGCAAGCCCTCACAGACTGCCCTGAAGTCTCCTTCCAAACACTGAGATCCTCAAGGGCAAGGGCAGGGCCAGGCCTCCACTTATTTAACACTGGTTCATTAAGCACCTTCTGTATGTCAGACACTGCACTGGGGCCAGGGTCTCTACCATATGAGCTCCCCACCAGCCACACCCCATGCCACACAACAGGGTCCACTGAGGTCTCTGTGGCCAGAGAAAGCAGCCCAGACACTGACCCACCAAACACTTTGTGAGCACCAACTACAGGCCAGGCCTTCACTAGGTCCCAGGGATATGCAACCTGGGAGCTGAGTTGGCAAGCAGACCCCAGGCCTATGTGGAACCAGCCCCACAGGAAGGGGTGGGAGGAGAGGATGTCATGCCATCGTGATAGCCCATGGGTAGCCTGGCACACAGATGTACCTGGCATGGTGTCTATGCAATGAGAAAATACATGGCTCTGTCCCTGGGAGAGTGCCTGGACTCTGGGACTGAGGGGCATGGGTTCAAGTCCTTCCCAATGCCTCAAACCTCCTGTCTGTATAATGAAGCTGATGCTACCCTCTATACTAGTAGACCATTAGGAAATTACATCAGCTGGCAGAGGGTTGAGCCCTCAGCCAGTGACTAGCCAAGGTACCAGTCCTGACTGTATCACCAGCTCCTTTAGAAAACCTGCTGCCTTGGCCCAGCTACCCTACCCCACCCCAAGACTCCTCTGAAATCTCTAGGCTCCCTGCCTGGCCCATCACCCAGTATCTAGCCATCTTTTTTTCATCCTCAGTCTTAGCTGTCTGTCCATAATGCTGCCAATTCCCCAGTGCAGCAGTCTCATGGGACTAAGCCCACACCCACTATAGCCTCCCAGGGACTGACCCAATCCCACTCCTCCTGCTGCCCACAAACTTCCTCCCTCCCAGACCCTCCTCCATGCAAGCCCATGGCAGGGCTCCAGGAGTGGCCCCAGTAGAGAGGCAGGCGTACCCATGTGTCACAGCAAAGCCCTGTCAGGGACACAGCAGCGGATGTCAGCTGCACCAGAGGCTTGGCCCAGCCCAGCACTGGGCCTGGGAGCAGCAGGACTGAGGGCAGATATCAGGTGGCCTGAGAGGAGGTACCTTCAGTTTGGGACCAGGCAAGGACCACAGAGTTTGCCAGGAGTGACAACACAGTTGCTTTCACCTGAGATGTAAGCCAAGGCCTCCAGGTGCCAGTTAGTACTGCCAGCTATGGCCCAGGACACCGGAGGCCTGGCCAGGCCAGAGGAAACTGCCCACAGGCAGACCAGGTCCCAGTGCTGCAGGATGCTGCTTTCCCCGTTACTCTCATAACTATTGTCATTGCTGTCATTATTTCTCTGCCACAGAACCAGTTGTAGTACCTTGTCCTGCTTTGGGAGGATTTGAGGAAAGGGATACAATGACCCTGGGACAGGAGGCCTGGCAGCAGATAGCTATGAGGAAGCTTCTGCTCAAACAAACCCCTGGCTTGCTGTGTGGCTTTCAGCAAGGCCCTGCCCCTCTCTGGGCAGCTGTTCCTCCCAGCAGAGCACAGCTCCCCGAATATCCCTCCACCAGGCACTCATCTGGAAGGGTACCCTCTGAGCAGCCTGGAAGCCCTATGGGAATCCAACCTGGCAATTGGGCATGGGGTGGGGTCCAGGGAAAGGCTGACAAACTCAGGCTCTGTCCCCTTCCCAAGACAAGGGTCATTCCCTTCAGGCTGGGGAGGGGGTTCTGCTGTGCCCTCACCTGGAGAGGAGGATAAGGAGTTGGTTGGGGATTTAGGGCCTGTGTCTCTGCCAAGTCTGTGTTAACAGCCTGCATGAAGGGTGCCCACTGTGCATACTCAGGAGTGCACCAGTGGGAAAGTTTCCATTATCCAGCACAATGAAAACCCCCTTCTTGTCCCTAGGTATGCTTAAGTGAGGCCTTACCCTTCTGCACCCTGCTCTTTCCCAGGGGTCTTGGCTCTACCTGATGGGAGCCTTTACAAGGTACCTCTCTTGGAGCTGCCAACCTCTGATCCCTTGGTTGAAAGGAAGGGGTCACCAGAAAACTGTGGGTAGACTTTGCAGAGGAGTCTCTTAGGACCCAGGAAGGGGACTGTAGGCGGGGTTTATTCTATCATAAGCCTTCCATGGCAGTACCCGGGACTGGGATCTCCTACCTGACCCTCTGTGGCCACATGGTAGCAGTCTAGAGTCTGGAGAAACGTAGCACAAGGGGAAGCTGGGGTTGGGGCAGGGCAGTAGTGGGGTGGGGGTAAGCCAGAAGGCTAGTGCCTTCTGGCCTCACACCTCCAAGGCAGTGGCTGTTGATTTCAGCCACCCAAGAGGGCCTCTGTGCTTCAGAGAGACAGAGCCTGCAAACCAGGTTTTCAGGGTGTGGATCTGGATGGAAGGGGTTCCCCAGCACTTTATTCCAGGGCTCCAGCCTGAACACAGGAAGCAAATAAGAAAGTAGAAATAGTCACAGATAGCACTCCAGGATGGTCATGCCCCCTAGAAAATGGGGAGCGGGTAGCCCCAGGTCCCAGCAAGTCCAGGCTGTGGAAAGGCAGAAGAACCTCCTGGAACTGAAGCCCACCTCCAAAGAAACACTTTGCTATGACCTCCCATTCTGAGCACAGGTTTTAAAGTATTCCATGAGGTGTGCGCATTCCATCTGAACAAGCAGCAGACACCCCCTCGGGCCTCAGTTCCGTTCTGAAGTCTCCCCAGGAGCTCCCCACCCCAGTTGCCTTCCAATGAGCCCTCCTCCCCACCCTCTTCGCCCCTGCCTCCCCAGACATCCAGAGCCAAGAAGCAAACCTCACAGGGAACCCCTGCTCTGACGCCTCCGGGGATACTCAGCTGTGGGACCATGCCCTCCACTGTCAAGGCCCTTTACTAAAAGCAAAAAGCTTCGGTCGGAGTCATTTGCTTGCTCACCGGAGGAGAACACCATTTCCAAAATATTTTTACTCCATTAGAGCACAGAAAGTGAAAAAAAGAAGTGGACTCCAAGGACCCTCAGCTCTTGGTCTGAGGCATTTTCGGGACTACTCATGGACATCGCCCCCCCTCCGCCCCACCGTGATTGCCGGGGTCTCCGGGAAGGTCATACATAGGGCTGATGCTGAGCACGAAAGTTCCTCCCGAACCCCCTTGTACAAGTCGACCAAAGGAAACCGAGAGCGCCTCAAAGTTTCCCGAAGCGCCCCCAGAACGAAGGTTAGAAAGGATCAAAGTTCCTGGTGGCGTAATAGCAGGAGACATGGCAAGGAAAGACAAGCTTGCAGTCATCATTTCCTCCAAAGGCTCACCAATGGAGGGGGGAAGAGAGAAAAGAAAAAAAAAAAAAAAACAGAAAACAACAAGAGGAAAAACCCTCCCAAACCCACTTTCCCAGTTGTTGCACTACCTCGTGCTCACTCTGAGCCCAGAGGGGGCCTGCGGGGAGGGGAAACCGGGCCCTGGAGAGAACCAGGGGACCCCGCACATACCTCGGCCAGTGCCCGGGGCGCGGCGCACTCTGCGTCCTCCGAGCTCTGAGCGGCCCTTCCTAGCCCCAGCCGCCACCGCACTGGTTGCATTGCCGCCGCCACCTTAGGGCAGCACCCGGGGGCGCTCCATGCGGAGGGGCGCATCAGTTCCGACCGCCAATAGCTTCGGTCTAGCCATGGGTTGGGATCACGCCCATGGATGACGCCCCCGGGCACCCGGCGCTGGCTCCAGGCTGGACCGCTGTAGTCTTCTGCTTGGTGGGGCTATGAGCGCGAGCGACGCACCCCCTCCCCCGCGGACTGTTATCTGATCTCAGGCAGGCCCCGCGCGCTCCCCACGCTCCTGCGCCCCGCGCCTCCCCACAGGCTCCAGCCGCACCAGCCCCTCCACCCTGACTACAGTTCCCAGGGAGGCTGTGGCAGCGGTGAGGCCAGTGGAAGGCGACAAGAGAGGGATGGAGAGCAAGGAAGGAAGGAAGGAAGGAAGCAAGCGGGCGGGAGGCTGAGGCTCTGCGCACACCCAGCTCCGTGCCCTGCTGCTACCAAAATCCAGCTCTGCAACTCCTCTAACTCTCAAAGGAGAGCACGCCCACAGCTTGCGGAACCGCCGCTGCCCCCACCCACCTGGGTCCTGGCCTAGCTAAGCGCCTCTCCAGCCCCGGAATGTGCCCCCCCCCCCCCCCCCCCCCGCACACCACCAGCCACTTGCCCACTGGGATGCGCGCGGGCACTGGTGCGCGCACACACATAGTCATGTCCTCCAGGGACACAGGCACAAGCAGGTGCATAGAGAGTGTGCACACACAGGCAATGGGATCTTGCACATATCTGTGCAACACTGCCGGTAGAGAATTTCATCTACACATATAAAATGCATGCCCTGACATATGTGATGTTTGTAAGTGCACAGGGGCATACACACTCACATGTGCACATTCAGGGAAGTTCTGCACGTGTGCACATGTGCACCCAGATCCTGGTTTGTACATTCCCATAGAATCCTTTCCTCTTGCACACCAGGCATGCACATTCATACACACTTCATCTCCCCCCCCCCCCCCCCCCCCGCCCCCGGCTTTAGTAGCATCTCTCCCCACCCATCTTGAACTTTGTTTGGCTTCTCTCCAATCCTCTCCAGGCTCCTCCCTCTGGCCTCCCTTTCTGCAGACCTGACCCCCATGTTACCCCTTCTCTCCACAACCCTGCCTCTGGAGGCTCAGGCTTTTCCCCAGCCTGTCCCCAGGAGTCCTGCCCTCCCAGCTTCCTGGGGCCTGTTGTCTGGGTCTTAGATCTCTAAGCCTCTTGCCAGCCCAGGACTTTCATACTGGCAGACAGACTTAACCAGCTGGTCTTTGGCCTAGGAAGACCCCACTTTATCACTAGTCTGACCCCTAGCTCAGCCTTGGAGCCACAGAACTGGGTTAAGGATGCTGGTTGGTGCCCAGAGCACAAGTCAGAAATGACTCCCAGGCCCCCTCAGCCTCCAGCTTCCCCTTTAATGTGAAATATAATTATGTGTCTGCACAGCAGGGAGACTGGCTGCAGGATTCTAACTGAAGAGGATGGCTCTCTGGCCAACACCCAGATTGCTGGCCGCTCAGACAGTGCAGTCTGCAGGCCCTACCTGCCCCAGGCTCCAGTCTACAATCCTGCCCAGGCTCCTGGCCCTAGGAAGGTGGAAAGTGCCACCTGGTCTAGGCCACCCAGAGAGTTCACCAACCTCATGCTGTCTGGGATTTAAATCCCACCACCTCCACTGATCAGCTGTAGAAGCAGATCACTTCAGCTCTCCAGGCCACACTCCCATCATCAAGTGGGGTAGTGAGATTTCCTAGCGCCTGGAGCTGCAGTGAGGATTCATGATGCAGTCTACTTGAAGGACCTAGCACAGTTCTGAGTAACAGGGCACTCCCTACACACAAGGCTCTGTGCTCAGGGCCTTGCTAGGGTTATTGTATTAACTCTGTAACCCTCTGGAGTCACTGGCCTTATTTTACGGGTAAAGGAGCTGAGGCACACAGAGGGATGGTCACTTGCCTGTCACAGAACTGTTGAAGGTAGAGCTGGGCCTCAAAGCCAGGTCTGACCCCAGGACCAGAGCTCTGTCCTTTGCCAGGAATGACTGCCTATGGCTGAGAGAGGGACATCCCAGGAGATTCCAGCTAAACACCCCCACAATGCCTGGTGACTGGCACATAGTGTCCTGGTTTTTTTCTTCCTCTTCCTTGGAGACCAACCTCTCAGTGGACCAAAAGCTCTCAGGAAACTTTTCTTTCTTCTCCATCGAAGTGACAAAGGAGGAAAGTGACTCAGATGCCCACCTTTTCCCCAGAGGAGCCAGCAGATTCCCCTCGGCTGGGAGACTGTGTCTTGGCTGGGAAAAGGACAGAAACATCTGGGATACCTCTGTGCCTAGGATTCTAACAGCTCTTAGGACAAGGGGATTAGCCTAGGGTACTCTCAACCCTAATACTCACACACACACAGAGTGCTCACCCTGCTGCTTACTAAGGAGCCAATGGAAGGCAACCCACGTCTTGTTCCTGGGCCCAGAGACTTCCCCAAAGCCATTATCCAATGCCTTTCACAGAGACAGCAAGTGTCTCTCTCACCCAAGGTCACTGAGCCAAGAATGTCCCTGCTGAGGTGCAGGCCTGACTCCCCAAGCTACTGCCCTTTAGGCTCTGCTTCCCACACTCCTAACCCATCTCCTGTGTCAGAATTTAATCCTCAACCATAATTATATCATACAAGCAGCTGTTACAGGCCGAGGATGCATGGTCCTTCTCCAAGCCATGTGGGGTGCCCATGCTACAGATGCAAAGACCGAGGAGCAGAGGAGCAGGAGTGTACACAGATGTCTTGCTAACCAGCTCACATGCCTGCCCCATGGCTTCCCGCCTGTGACCAAAGGGGCTCAGAGCCCTCCCAAAGCAAGGCCCACTGCCAGGCAGAGCATTGCTAATTCCTGTTGTGTCGAGGGGGATGTCTGCAACCAGGGCCAGGGGGAGGGACCCCAAACGTGTCCCTTGCTGAGGTCCCACTCTGTAAAATGGGGTTGCAACAACAAGAATAATAATGTCCCTCTCATGACATCTGTGCAGCTGATGAGATGAAAGGGAATTTGGTGTCCCACACACAATAGGAGTTCTAGCAACAAGCACACCTTTCCAATCCTCTCTGATTCTGCCTAGTGCCTGGTTTCCCCTTAATCTGAAATTTTCTTTCTACCCCTCCAGGGTAGAGTCCAGTCTCCCTCCCAGCCCTGAGCCTGGCATATAGCAGCCATTTGAAACACATCTGCTGACCTGGCATCCCCAGAGCCACAGGCTGAAAGTCCAAAGAGTCCCTTATCCCATTTGGAGCCATTTCTTTTGAGGAAACCAAGGCCTAGGCAGGGAAGATTGCTTCCAAAGCCACAGAGCCATCAGTGCATGAGAGGGGTTGGCTGGGGGAGCAGCCTGCTGGCTGGGGTTTGCTGGTCTGAGTAGGCAGCAGGCTCAGTCTGCTGGCTTTTATAATATTCATGTCTTAATATGACAATGACAATGCATTTGTTTCAGTCATAAATTAATCATTGATTGAGATGTGAAAACCAGACAATCCCTCACTGGTGACTCTTTGTCTGACACCACAGCCATCTTCAACAGTGGCCCCAGAACCCTGCCAGCATCCAGTGCCTCAAGGGCTACCTCCTCCCAGGAGCCCACCAGGTTTCTCCTACCCCCAACCCCCTGCCCTAAAATTCGGCCCATCCCCAACTCCTGTGTCAGGAGACCCTTGAAATATAAAGTAGGCTAATGTCATTGCCCAGTTCAAACTCTTCTAGGACAGATGTGAGAGTCAAAGTCCCTGAGGCCCAGGACCTATCTGCCCTTGTTTCACTCAGCCCCCTTGGCCTTCCTGCTCCAAACATGCTGGCCAGTTATTCAGGCCCTCAGATGTCATTAGCTTAATTCTGTCACTGGACTATCTCCAAATTACTCTTCCTTCAGGGACAGCTCAAGCAGCACCTCATGAAAAAGCCCACCCAGGGTCTCCAATGGCCCATTTTATTCTTTCCCATACTGAGGCACCTCATTTCCTGTTGGTCTCTTCCAAGGCATGTCAGGTCTGTAAGGCAGGAATAAATCTGTCCAGCATGCTCACAGCCCAGGGCCCTGCACACAGCGGGCCTGCCATGAATATCTACAGAGCGAGAACAGAGAGACACAGGATGGGGAGACCCAGGAGAGACAGGAGATCACAGGCCTGCTCTCAGCAGAGCCTTGCCTCCTCCTCCAGGACTCACCCTGCCTCTTACCTCCACCCCCAACCGCAGTCAGAGAGAACTGTGCCTGGCTGGTCCAGAGTGAATTTCTGGTGGGGCGCACAAAGCCCATGGTCAGGAATCACAAGGTACAGGGTAGCACTCCACCAGCGCCAAAGGGAAAGGAGGTTCCCCTGATAACTTAGGCAGTGAATGGCAGAGCAGAAAAAAACCCAGGCTCAGGAGTCTGGCCCTTAGCCCAGTCCCTTCTCTCAATGCCATTTTCCCCAAGAATAAAAACAGGGATGGTAACAATGGATGCCAACTGTACATTTGGCAAGTTAATACCCACTGCACGAACACCTCATAGAGGATGATGTTGTGACTGCTCCAGCTGACAGGTATAAAAATGCCACCCCAGTTGGTAGCTGAAGAAATGACACCCAGATGGGCCTGAGCTGTTGTGATGAAAGGATTGCCTGGGAGTATGTGAGCTGCCCAACCTCAGTGAGTCTTTTCCAGGGGTGCTGTGGAAGGAGTAAAGGTGCAGAGGTCAAGAAAGTGACTGTCTTGCTCATTTGAGGCCACATGCCCCTTCCTGTCCCCAGGTACCCACAGACCTAGGGCTGACCCTGTGGCATTGATCTGAGGAGAGCAGAACTTCAGGAATGGCTGTCAGCCTTGGAAACAGGACATGGAGCCCCGCCCACCCCATAGGAAGTAGGCATTGATCCACTCAGCCTAGAGCTGGCCGACTGACTTATTTCCCTCACGAACAGGCTCTGACAGTCACCCCACTGACTTTGCCCCTCCTCCCTGCCACCCCTGGAGCTTCAGCTGTCAGGAGGATGG